ATACTGTGTTTTTATTTGATGATTATAAAGTTCCATACATGTTTACAGATATTGTGTTGACATTTTTTCTTGCAATATAGACAGTACAAGACTGGCAACTATTCCACTTGACTTATGCAAAGCTATTATTTGAGTTAGGCATCTTGGAACCAGACAAATGTTGAAGGTTACTTTCTATAAAAAAGTCAACTGAAACTCTTGAAGTCTATATTATATGAAATCAAAAAAGAAATTGTTCCAAACATTTGATTGGACTTGTACGACGAAAATGAGAAATTGTCTCAGACAGTCTGAGAAGGTTTAAGTGTAGACTCTTCTAAAGAACTGATAATGTATCAGTACTGTAGGTAGAGATGGAATTCCTAGATTTGATGTATATAAAATGTACTAATCTTGTTGTTTGGATTGGTGGGGGATTGACTTGTGTAGTGACCTGTGGCTATATGGTGGCTGTTGTGTATAGGATCAGGTAACTTAATTACTTGACATTGTTAAAAAACTATATATACCAAAGAAGGTAACACATTTCTAAGTAAAACTTTTCCCTCCAATTTCGTTTTATCCCTCCTCCCATTCTAACATATCATGTCCATTCTTCTTGATGGAAGGAGTTGCTTAATACCTAGACAACAATCTACTGTGTGGTATGCTTGTCAGAGGGATTGTTTCGTTAACTATGCGATTAGTAGTCCCTTGAGCCATTTGTGTAGTCTCCATATATATACACCCAATGTCGACTCTTTGTTAAGGGTGTTTAGACACCTATGAGACCTTACGAGTCCATTGTAAGTCATCGCTATCTTTACATCACCTACTGTTAGTATGAAAGGCCACATATTGTTAAATAGAGACATTTCCTTCCAATCTGGTGTTATCCCTCGACGTTAAAATTTTAACTTAATTGAGATTTTAAGAATTTAATTATGCTTACAATGTACTGAAAGAAGGAAACTTTGATTTGCATGATTTCTTTTTTCTTTAGATTAAATCGATGCTTTATTTGAACAGGTGTAGTATGAGGTTCCATTTTCCTCCTACATTTCCATATACATATCATCAGAATTGAAATAAAACAGAGAGCAGCTTCAGATATCATGATTCCTGTTCAGTGTTTAGTGAATGATTCCTGTTCAGTGGTTAATGAATTGGGTGTTTCAATAAATTGATCGGTTTAATCATATAGGTTCTGAGTGTTAAGTTGCATAACTTTTAGTGAGATCAAGTTTCAAAACGCTTTAGTTTGACAACTTCAAATCGAGTGTAAATGCCATAGGTTATCAACTTCAAATGTATAGACTATGAGTGTGAGGTTGAATAACTTCTAGTTAGTAGGACGATTATTTTAAAAATTGCTTTACGTTAACTAGATGTAGAGCATCTGCTATACAAAGTGTTGTGTGTGCTGATTATGAAATCCTATTACTGTTCATCAAATATTAATTTTATATGTTTTACATAAATTGTGATACTTGTGCCAGATATATTTTGAAATTAATTTATGTAGTAATAACATATGAATGATGATTTGATGCTGTTTTGAACAATATACCTCATATTTTGTTAGAAATAACATTTTTATGTAGTGGTAACATATCTTTTAGAAAAATATAGTTTTGTTTCTATTGTATAAACAAAGTACCTCAAAAGGATTTAGTTTGAATAAAACTATGTTACGAAAAGTCTTTTAGTTGAATTATATAAACTATTCTTAGTGTTTGTTGTACTTCTTTGAATAAACTCTAATGTGTGCTATGTTAAAAATGTTTCCACATATTGACGTTATACAAACTGGTTCTAAAGAGTTAAATATTTTTATGGTCTAAACTTTTAAAAGCAAGAAAACTAAATTTTACATTATCAATTCAGATTAAAAAAACCTAATCCTAAACCTTCTTTTTGTCAATATTTAAAAAAAAAAAACAAAAAAACCCACCTACATTATGATAAGCTAAACTTGTTTTCATTGATGTTTAATAGAATGTTGTGTATATATTGTTGTTTAGAAAAGTTTTTTAATTGGGCATACTATGTAGAGCCTCATAGACATTGTTGTATCTACTAGTCCTAGCCGTTGGCTATGGTGATGATTGAACTCACACATTTGGAGATTTTATCTCTCACCTGATCTACATATGTCGCATTCAGCGGTCATCTGGATTTGTTAAAATATAAAACTAATGATAACAAGAGGCCCATGGGCCTAAACGGTCACCTGAGTCTACAGTATTTATTTTTGTTGTTGAAATATGTACCAATTTGAGTAAAAAATAGTATAATGTTAACTTAACTTTGTCAGGACCATGAGCTGATCATTCCTAGACCAATTTTAAGTGAGATCGGCCTATTAGAACTTAGTAGCAAAATAGCGGCCATGGCAGCCAAATTGTATTTCTGATTGACCCGAAAAATAACAACACTTTGTCAGGACCATGATTCGATCATTCCTACAAAGTTTCAGTTCAATCGGCCAAGTAGATCTTTACTTTAAGTTTGAAATAGTTTACCAAAATGGCAGCCGTGGTGGCCATATTGGATTTCTGATCGACCCGAAAAATAACAACACTTTGTCAGGACCATGAGTCAATCATTCCTACAAAGTTTCAGTTCAATCGGCCTAGCAGAACTTGACTTTAAGTTTGAAATATGTTTTCAAAATGGTGGCCGTGGCGGCCATATTGGATTTATGATTGACCTGAAAAATAACAACACTTTGTCAGGACCATGAGTCGATCATTCCTACAAACTTTAAGTTCAATCGGTCCAGCAGAACTTGACTTTAAGTTTGAAATAGGTTTTCAAAATGGCGGCCGTGGCGGCCATATTGGATTTCTGATCGACCCGAAAAATAACAACACTTTGTCAGGACCATGAGGCGATCATTCCTACCAACTTTCAGTTCAATCGGTCCAGCAGAACTTGACTTTAAGTTTGAAATAGGTTTTCAAAATGGCGGCCGTGGCGGCCATATTGGATTTCTGATCGACCCGAAAAATAACAACACTTTGTCAGGACCATGAGGCGATCATTCCTACCAACTTTCAGTTCAATCGGTCCAGCAGAACTTGACTTTAAGTTTGAAATAGGTTTTCAAAATGGCGGCCGTGGCGGCCATATTGGATTTCTGATCGACCCGAAAAATAACAACACTTTGTCAGGACCATGAGGCGATCATTCCTACCAACTTTCAGTTCAATCGGTCCAGCAGAACTTGACTTTAAGTTTGAAATAGGTTTTCAAAATGGCGGCCGTGGCGGCCATATTGGATTTCTGATCGACCCGAAAAATAACAACACTTTGTCAGGACCATGAGGCGATCATTCCTACCAACTTTCAGTTCAATCGGTCCAGCAGAACTTGACTTTAAGTTTGAAATAGGTTTTCAAAATGGCGGCCGTGGCGGCCATATTGGATTTCTGATCGACCCGAAAAATAACAACACTTTGTCAGGACCATGAGGCGATCATTCCTACCAACTTTCAGTTCAATCGGCCCAGCAGAACTTGACTTTAAGTTTGAAATGTAAAATGTTAACGGACGACGGACGACGGACGACGACGGACGAAAACGGATAGCAATAGGTCACTTGAGCTAAAGCTCAGGTGACCTAAAAAGCATGTTCGTTTACACACAGTTTAATGATTTAAATATACATACTGACGAAATGTTCACGTTTACAATATAATAAAGACAAGACAGACAATCAGTTAACATTTTAAAAACAGTGCATGGGTTAACGAATACATCCTCAAGCTGTTGTCTTAAAAGTCTCCACATAAATGAATAACAAATGAGAGTCGTTATGGTTTTATGAAGCGACTTTCTAACCGGTGCATAGATTGAATGATTTCATTAATCTTCTTTCTGCGTCGCATTTTTTTTAGTTCCCTACTTCTCCATTCTGAGCTAAACACATTTGAAATATAATCGTTTCTCGTGTCGTTTAGAATTTTCCATCGATTCACTTCCTCTATAAAATATCTTATAACACTATTTTCAAATGATTGTTGTACAAGTAAAAAGCATACACAAAATTAAATAAAGAGTCCATTTTCTCGATATAAGTTCTTTCATTCGCCATTTTAATGGTTGATTTAAGCGTACATATCAAACAAAGAGTCTCAGTCTGACAATGCCTATTTTCTTCACAAACTTGAGAATGTTCCCACTGAAATGTTGTTTCACATAGTCTTCAGAGCAGAAACAACCATCTTCCATTAAATGTTGTAACACGTGTGAAGGAATACGGGACTGAAAAGTAAATTGACGCCACAGTTTTTCAACTTCTAAATGGTTGACGGTTGACAGGGCTTCTTTGAAATATCTATCTTCTATGTCTTCACTATCAAGCATGACACAGGCATGTCCTTGCTGGTTAGCTTGACCCTCCCACACATCCTGCACATACAAACAATTTCGATATGACCTCTCTCACGCTCAATGCATAAGCTAGGCATAACAAGTTTTTCACAATCCTCTTTTAAGCGTTTTCCTCGATACGATTTTTCATGTAGGAATACCGTCTCTCCTCAAATATTTCCATTATAAATTAGCACGATACTGTGCACACATTAAACAGGTGACTTTATCGCTATATATGTCCTGAATAAAAAAAAAACCGTTACGGGTGAGTTCGGTTGAGGTCTGACGTATTTGTTGGGGTCAGTTTTGGAACGTTTGTAATCGATCCTCACATTTCATCATAGACTGATGTACTGGTCGTATGTGATATGAAGTATGACGGATACAATCTGTAGTAATATCTGACATGTCAATGTATAAAATAGCAAACATACGTGGAAATTCTCCAGCTGTATCGTACTCGTTTGCAGTCGTGATTATCCTTAGTGATACAGGTATAAATCTAAGTGTGTGCAGATTGCTGGTAGGGTAATTGGGATTGGGAATCACTCGGGCATTCAGCATATACGTATTATGTGTGAACTTCTATCGACCAATCGACGAGCCAGATGCAGTGAGTGACAACCGTTCGGTATGTGGGCGTGTTCTTATTGAACACGGCTTGTTGACGCCGTGACGATTTTCATTGTACGGTGTTCTAGGCACTAGGACAAAATGACTTCAGGAAGGAAAAATATTGTAAGTATTGTGTTTTACACTTTATCTTGTTCACAATATACCTACTGCTACTTAGAACGATATATGCTTTACATTTTAATTATGGTAGGGATGATATCAACTATTCCACTTGTAGTCTAGTCACCCTCCGCTAAATCAGCCCAAACCTGAAACTAATTGCTACTAAATTTGTTTTTTGATTTTTACTAATGGTAGTTTCAATGTATCAGTATTATAACAGGAAACAAGTCTCCTGGAATCAATCTTTGGTAAAATTTTATTTTGACCTTCTATAGGATCACGAAAATAAGGAAAATCACATATCTGACCACTTTTGAAGCGTAATATACAAGATTAACCGTATAGCAAGACCAATTGAAATATAATACAGATTTACCAAAATGTTACAGCAGAGGTATTGCATTGACAAATTATTGAACTACGAAAATGGCTTAAGAGCATTTTGAGCTTGACAATATTGGCTTTTGTTTTCTATCTAAATGCAGAAAATACTAATTACTTAATCTCAGTGACCACGCGAGTCTATATCTAGCTTTTTAAAACATCACATTTTATCTTATATCAATGCCCGAAAAATGGTACATACAAAAAAAATATCAGCCATCTAATTTGACCAATTGTGCCGATTTTGGTGTTAACTTATGTCCAAAATAAACAATTTACCTATTTCTGTAACATGTCATTTGAAAAAGGACAAGCAAATGCTTACAAGCATTTTATATCCATTTGTATGTGTGCAGATCTGATTGGAAATGGTAATTTTGGTAAGATAAGTGTACAAATGTGTCCAAGCTCTGATGGTGAAAACTTCATCTCATGCAATTTTGCCTCAACACTGAAAAGTCCATGATTCTGAACAACGAACATCTTTATTTTGTGCACAGGTTTTGTCCGATTTACAAATGATTTTGCCAGTAAAGCAATGATAAAACGGATGTTTTTGTGCGATAAATTTAAAGTTAAACATTCCATACAACTTCATCATTTTATTTAAAATTACGTATCTCCCATTCTGTTCTATTGTGTGAAAGAAAAAATGATCTGTTGAAAGAATAAGACACAAGTTTAACCTGACTTCCCCTTAATTAAGAGGACCATGTTATGGTGGTAATTCCTGCCAAAAGATTTAGCAATCGGATAAAACACAACAACAAAGATTTCACATTTCTGTTGTCCAAAATCATGGAAATTTTTAACGGTATAGTCAAATTTGCACGAAATTCATTATTTGGAGATATCTAAACCGAGATGGCATTTTTGCTAAGAATAACTTGCATAGAAAATGATTTAGAGTAATTTTCAGTCTTTTGCTGAAGATATTGTTAGAGTCTTGCATGCATAAATTGAAATATTGTTCAATTTGGACTTTAAAACAGCTCCCAGTCAGCCCTGCAGGCCAACTTTGAACATTCATAAATTCTAATATGTGAAAGAAAAACTACTCATTTATGAAACTTTAATACACAATCGGTTTTCAATGCATTTCTACAAAACCAGTATCGATATTGATGTTGATTAACGTAATAGTCTGTCTTAAAACTGCAACAAAAGCTAATATGTTCGACATTTGAATGCTTTTGTCAATATTCATGGTGTGATAGTTTTTTTCAATGTGATGGTCCTATTTATTTTTTGGCTAATCTGTATTGTACACTGATTGGTCTTTCAATACAGTTAATTCCTCCTATTCAGTGTTACACAAGAGGTTGATATTTACACTTCAATGTTGGTCCGGTAAGCAATTATTCTTATTTTCTTGATCCTATTTCGGGCGAAAAAAATCATTTTCCCAAATGTTGATTTTTGTGGAATTTTTTCTGTTACACAGTATAAACCAATTTGTATGAAAAACCAGAAATAAATTATGTTGTACTTAGTTTGAGGTTTATCATAGGTTGACTAGACTATTGCTTTTAGTTTAGTTTTATGCGCCCACCATCGTAAGATCTGTAAAATTGATCTCTCGTTCCCGTTTCTCCTATCTGTGTTATTAGCACATATTGCAATAACTTTTGCTCAAACCTTGACTAACATATATTATTTAATGTGTAACAAGGGGAACTTCTATTTGAAATTTGAAACCTGTGAAGTACCTTTGAAGTTCTTCTAAAAAAAAGCGATAACAAACTTTCCCTCCCAAATATCAAGATGGCTGTCTCTATTCCAATCAACCGAACAGCATATAATTAATTATATATACACAACCGACGGCTACTGAGAAACTTACATGTGAAAATTGAAAAGGGTCCATCTAGTACTTTCCGAGAAATTGCCCTAGTAAAATGTAACCCTCAAAATTTAAGATGGCGGCTTGTCGGCTATTTGAGTATACTGATCGGTCACGAAATTCAATATGCACAACTAATCACTGTTTGAAACATACACTTGAAATTTGAGAAAGGCCTCTCATGCCATGTCTGAGAAATAGAACTGTTTGTCCACTGGTCGTCGGCCATCTTGATCTTCTGGTCTATCTCAGAATACAGTATGCTTAAAAACGGACGATGTGGAATATGACTAAGGTCCCCCCTTTAGTACTTTCTTAAAAAAGCATTATCAAACATTAACACTCAAAATTCAAAAATACTACCTCTCGGCCATCTTGTATCATTATTCAATATGCACATCGACGGCCCATGAGCAAAACACATATAAATATGAAGAAGATTCATTTTATTATTGCTGAGGAATAGCGCTAACAAAATTCGTTTAAGGACGAGAGGAGGATGGGCTAAAGTGCATGTTTGAGGTACTTGTATTTAATTATTATGTCATTTGAATTGGTCAGTGCATGCCACAAAAATCCTCAGTCTCTTAACCGTTTCAAATCCTGCAACTTTTCTTGAATATGAATAAAATACCTCGTTGTTCTCTTCTATACAATGCATAATTCATGTTTCAGCGCCTTTGTCTGATGTTCTTATCATTAGTGCTTGCTGTCGTGGTGTCAATACTGGGATTCTATTCCAAAGTTATAACCAGGAAAGTTACTTTGTTCCATGACCTGCAGAATAAAAATTTAGCAGCTGATTCGAGTAATTGTCCATTGATAGCATTTCATCGTGAAAACAAGGTGCTGACGAATTATAGTGGACAGGGAACGAAATACATTGTTTACGACTGTTCCAAGGCCCGTAAGGGATATTGTGGCGGCTGGTCTGATAGAATGGCTGGTATTATGACCACCTTTATCATATCAATACTGACAAAACGGCATTTTCTTATCAACTTTGACACACCGTGTTTACTTCAAGATTATGTCACACCAGCCCACTTCGACTGGCAATATAACTCCTCTATCCTTTTAAATAGAACAAGTTCGTTCCAATATTTACCAGATAATAGTTTAAGAAATAAAGCAAATGACATGAGAGGCGATGACTTAAACAGTTACTTCAAGGACGACGTGGCTTTTCTCCGTATGAACAGGGATTATATAAACTACTTCAGGAATAGATCAAATATAGGAAATGAAATACCATGGCTAACAAGATATCACCAAGTCGATATTTACAAACATGTATTTAATTTTCTGTTTAAACCCTCACCTGTGACTATTCGCGAATTGAACAATCAGTATAAAACAAAGCGGAAGCGTAAGAAGATAGCATGTGCGCATGTACGTGTTGGGCTTAACCCAAACATGCCGCGAGACAGAAAGCGACCTGAATTACATCTACAACTGGACATTCTATGGAATTTTTTCGGCACATTAAACAAGGATGAGTATGACTTGTTTATTGCTTCTGACACAGACAGTGTAAAGGCTTCTGCTAAGGAACGTTTCCCTGAAAGAATGATTAACACTGCAGGAAATATAACACATATTGACCAACCAGGTATACATGATCCGCGCGAGGGATTTCTGAAGCAGCTGCTTGATTACTATATAATGGTCGACTGCGATATACTCATCATTTCAAGCAGTGGGTTTGGTATGTTAACCGCGTTCGTTCGAAACCAAGATTATGGATTGTACTGCTGGGGAGTTAAAGGTCTCTTACCGTGCTCTAGATACACGGTGAACGATATATTCCCCGGAGGGAAATTCACGCCAAAATAGTTAAGTTAAAAACCAATGTGAAATTCAAAAGAAACACTTTGTTTACACTTAATCCATTACAGCCGCCTGATTTTCTTTTAGAAATGTATCTATTTTGATATTAAAATTGTGCTTTAACAAGGTTTGATGATTTCTAGGCTATGCATGTACGTACAACGACAACAAAAACCTTTCATGTCCAAATCTTTAAGCAATAAACTGCATAGATGGTGCAGTCCTATCGGTATAGAAATACCATGTCTCACAGAAAAACAGAAAGGTGAACGTTACGAAAACAACTGGAACGACAGCAAAAGAAAAGAGACGTGACGCGCTCTTTCTTAAACAAAATTGAAAGATACTCAACGCTGTCATATCGAGGTTGCATGCATTCTACAGGGGTGTCAGCGTTTCAGTTGACACATTTTGTGTTTTCATTCCGTTCGATCTCACGATTCACTTTGCTCCTTTTCCTTACAAATGTACCTTTTCGTGTTGCTCATGTTTTTAATTATGTTTAGTGGACACATGGGAGATTGTTGAATGAAGTGGATGATGAGCTTATTGTAATAAAAGAAAAATACCAAAGAAAACCCTCAGCACCGTTCATGAATGATGAACTGCGCAAGGCTTTTAACTATAAAAGGAATCTTTTTCAAAAATACATCAATGAAAAATAGATAAAAACGAAATTATGTAACTAATTTAAAGAGGAAAACGTTTTTTTTTCTTTTCTTCAGAATTTGTAGTAATTTGAAGAGTTAGATTACTATTATCTAACTTTTCAAATTACTACAAATTCTAACAGATATGCCAATAAGCATACAAAAGGCTTTTAATAGTGGTGGGAATTAGTTCAAATTTTGTAATCGAAAGTTGGTTTGAAAAAAATCTTAAATGCATGTGATCCATATTATATATGAATAAGCATACAAACATTCTGACAACAACTTATCATAAAATCGAGCACATCTTTCCTATGACAATATATCGTGATACGTATCGCAATATATTCATTCTGTATTGCGATATATCGTGATACACTCTTGGTGTATTGTGACACCCCTAGTGTGTGTGTGTGTGTGTGTGTGTGTGTGTGTGTACATATGTATGTATGTATGTATGTATTATATATATATATATGTATGTATGTATGTATGTATGTATGTATGTATGTATGTATGTATGCTATGTTTATGTGTGCGTGTTTGTGTATATTGATTTGATATTACTATGTAAAATGTGTATGAATTTTTGTCTGAAAAAAATTACAATTGTTTTCCTCTTTAAATTAGTGACATAGTTTCGTTTTTATCTATTTTTCATTTATGAATTTTTGAAAAAGATTCCTTTTGTAGTTAATAGCCTTGCTCAGTTCATTATTCATGAACGGTGCTGAGGGTTTTCTTTGGTATTTTTCTTTTATTACAATAAGCTCATCATCCACTTCATTCAACAATCTCCCATGTGTCCACTAAACATAATTAAAAACATGAGCAACACGAAAAGGAACATTTGTAAGGAAATGGAGCAACGTGAGGTAGTAAACGTTAAGTCGGCTTACATTAATAAACCCCTGGATGTTTGTGACTGACACGCAGATGAACCTTAATTTTTATATAGTTACTAACTCATTGCCGGACCATTCAGTGCTTGTCACTATGAAATCTGAAATCTCTATAGTTGGTTAATTATCACTGACACGAACAGTGACGAACCATTGAATTAAGGTAGATGTCTAAATGCACGTGACAATCATAGGTTGTGAGGTGAAAGTAGTGAAACCTGACAATACCGACACTTGACTTTACTGAGTTTTGACTGTCTCTTGTAATCCTGGAATTATATTCGACAACTTTGTTTTGTTTAGGTAAAGGATATAAGCCGCAAACTGTCTATTATGTAAAATACTGGACAGTCTGAGTCTGAAGTATACTCCAGAATGTAATACCACATGGCTAAAGCATGTTATTAAACAAAGGATGCACGACCAGTATTTACAGAAATGGCGGAGTGATGTACACACTTCACCAATAGCTACAATGGCGGAGTGATGTACACACTTCACCAATAGCTACAATGGCAGGGTGATGTACACACTTCACCAATAGCTACAATGGCGGAGTGATGTACACACTTCACCAATAGCTACAATGGCAGAGTGATGTACACCCTTCACCAATAGCTACAATGGCGGAGGGATGTACACACTTCACCAATAGCTCCAATGGCGGAGTGATGTACACACTTCACTGTTGAAACCGGCAGATGGCATGATATAGAGTATAATGAAAGAAAATGTCCACACTGTAACAGTCAGCAAATTGGTGACGAATTCCATTACTTGCTTGAGTGTCCGTCACTATCTGGGTATCGAATTTTATATATAGATAAATATTTTTGGACGAGACCAAATGTAATTAAGTTTTATGAATTGATGAATACTACTAATATAAATAGACTGAGGAAACTTTGTACTTTTATCAGAATAATTAATAACAATATTTGACCTCCTCGATACAAATGTGCATTTATTATGAAACAGTACTGTGTACTACCGACTACGAACACTACAATTACTATATATTATATTGTAAATATGTTTCTCTATACATTCTATTGTGAAAGAGAATAAAATTGAATTGAATTGAATTGAGGCGCGTAAGACTGTCCAATATTTTACATAATAGACAGTTTGAGGCTTACATCTTACTTAAAACACACACCCTCTTTGTGTTAATATTGGACAGTTTCAATATCTGTTCAGTATGTGCAATCAACCACGAAGGCTATTGATACAATAAAGGACAGTGGATATGTGTGCAAGTGCATGCATTACAGGTGTGTGAAATATGCCCGAGTAGACTTTAGTCTCATTTGAATAATGTCGTCCAACAGTGAAGGTGCGTTCCCAACACAGTCCCGGTGCAGTACATTTTGAGCATCATCATTCAGTATTGAAATGGACTAAATTCAAATAATGTGATTGATTTATTGAAGAAAGATATTACAGTATATTTCTGGGATTATATCTGTGAGAGAATGAAATGAAAGAATTAAACCACACAATTAAAGTGAGAAAATTCAAGATTTCAACACCACCTCCAAAATATTTTCATCAAAGATATATCACAGCTATATATCTGGGATTATACACGAATATCTCAAGGGATGATAAGAAAGAAATTTTGTGCACACACATTGTGGGAAAAACGCAAGATTTCAACTGCCCTCAACTCCAAAGTGTTATTGCCAAAATTACGAATTCAAAGGAAATTACAATCAATGCTGGAAATGTGTCTCTCAGTAAAGTGTTTGGATATGTATGCAATTATATGGATGTTTCATGTAAAACGAGTGTTCCGTGATTCAAACCATCTTTCAAGGAAAAAATATAGTGCATGGGAAATATGACTGTCGGAATATAAATACCGGATATACTTTAAGAATGTTGATATTTAAATTCTGTGTTACATTTAATAAATATTTATTTTCACATTTATTCTATTACTATGTTTTCCATTGTACAGCATAATTATTTGCTCATTCAAAAACTTACCTTTTGCCGTCCAATAAGTTACCTGTAGCCGTCCAATAAGTTACCTGGAGCTGTCCAATAAGTGGATTCTTTTGTGTACTTATTGGACAGCTACAGCTAGGTAACTTAATTCTGTTGGATATATAGAGTACGCAAATAACAATGGATGACATCACAGCTGTGTTTTAAGGTCGTTTATTGGTCCACATGCTCGTAGAGATGTACGACTGTGCATGGCAATGGTAGTACCATCTTATTTATTTGATGAATCTAATAAAGTTTATATTATTAACGGAGCTATAAAAATTGGGTACTTAGATAAATTCAGACCAAACGTTACTGATGCTATAAAAGAAATGATGGACATGAGACGACACAGGAGGCCTTTGCGAGATTGTGTTACCACGAGAAGCTGTGAGAACGATCCAAGAATTCGGCAGATAAAGCCAGTCGTCTTTTTATGAAGATGTAATGTAAGGCAGATTTATCTTTAAAGTCAATCCCCCGTGACCCCTGAACCTTCCAAATGTGTACATTGCGGTATAGCTAACTGTGTGCCCCTCGCACACACGTACACACATGTGCGCGAACGGGAGATATCACCCTAGAGACGCAGCATGCACTGGGAACAGGCCCGACAGCAGAACGGCGCAGTTCAGGGTAGGGTTACAAAGTACGTTTCCACTCCCGTCACCCTCCCATGGGTAGTATACACAACGATCCCGGCCCTCAGTGGTAGTTCTCCGCCCGGCCCCCACACTGGCTGAAACACATAACTTCGACAAGTTTATATATGATCTGGAGGAGTTCAGACCTAACACCCAACAATGGTAAGTGGCTATTTTATATGTTAATTGTAAGTTATGGTCAGTGGTTTTGTGTGTCGGTATCTATCGGTACTAACATGCAAGGTATCCTCATTGTTCGTTCCCTTCATCTAGTTTACATCAAAAGGTGATAAAATCTGTAGTTCCTGATGACGTCACATCACTACCTTTCAGCCTCTGTATCTCGTCCGTCGCCTCATGGATCTTATGCGATTAAATTATACGCGTGTGTGCTTTATACAAAGTATAAATTGTAGCGATGAAGTTTTTTCTTTTCTTTTAAATGTGGTCTTATCTGCTATACCCTCCACACTAGATACACACACGGACATGCGTCCGGCTAACCCTTCATATACACACACGGACATCCGTCTAGCTAACCTTTCAGATACACACACGGACATCCGTACAGCTAACCCTTCAGATACACACACGGACATCCGTACAGCTAACCCTTCAGATACACCCACGGACACCCGTACAGCTAACCCTTCAGATACACACACGGACATCCGTACAGCTAACCCTTCATATACACACACGGACACCCGTACAGCTAACCCTTCAGATACACCCACGGACATCCGTACAGCTAACCCTTCAGATACACACACGGACATCCGTACAGCTAACCCTTCAGATACAC